AACTGACAAGGTTGATTGACTGATCAGTAGAGAACATAACAAAAGGAATACAACGCGGCTGTCAGGAGACATGAACTCCTGTCCCTGATATCCATAAACGAGGAGCAAGAAGACCACAAATTCAATCTCGAAAACGCAAAAATTTTGGCATACGAAGACACGAGACACGGAAGCGAATCTCCTCGGCAGACTCGATCAATCGGTGCATCGAACTGGATCCATTTACGCACCCCTACATGCAAAGGACCAACATCTCAACTGGAATACTCAAGGAGGATCGAATATTGGATTCACAAACAAAGAGACAAGGAACCCCTTGGAGGCAAATCAATAGAGGTCACAAGCCGAGACTAGAAAGGACAAAGGTAACTCCAGCACTGACCAGCTTACGACGGCAGGAGATGCCAAGCTCAAGGGTCACGTGGGCATCGGCGAATGGGGATACAGGACAACGGAGCAACCAATGGGAACGCCCGACCGAACAACTAATCGCGATCAGAGGTCACCCCCTGCTAGCAGCGCGTATATTAACACACGCGTAAGACTTCTCAAAGCACAACCACTAACCCACCGCTACGCACCACTACGCTCCCCAATAACGCACTGATGATGTCACCCGACTGGTGATGAAACGTTTGCAATCAAATTGCCCAGCTCAGCGAACAAGCCAACAACCATCTACGCTACCTGAGCTACCGCCATTTTCCTCCTTAGAAAACACTATCATATTTTCACTAAGCGACTGTTTTTCCCATTCCTAGTTGACCGGTCTCACAGTTTGCGCTGGTCATAATACTAAGTATAGAGAATACCCGTTAATTCTCTATATCTTTACCCGTTTGACATCTCAAGTTGTGTTTTATGTACAATGCAGTACCTGTATGGTGTCCACTCAACTGTTTTATTAGGTTTTCCCCATTGCTGTGATTCTCTGCCGAGTTTGAAAGGAAGTTGACAATATTGAACTATCAGTCTTAATTGGAAAGGACGAGTGCCCTCCTCTGACTTACATGTATGGCTCAGTTGTATTTCAGAGGTATTTCACTAAAATGGCGGACTGTGAGTTAGAGGGACGGTTGTATATACGTGTAAACTATATACGTGTGAGCAGCTAGGTGGAGAAATTTTCTTGCATATTCGATTTTGACTGCCAAATTTAGAACGAGCCGTGGTGCAAATATTACGGTAATTTTTAGTGTGTCTAGTGATGGAGATAAATCGGGAAACACGAAGCCTCTATGATACCTTTGACGGAACGCCTTCAACCAAAAAAAAACAAGAAAACCTCTCCCTAACCGTTGAACAATCTGAGACTGAGCTCCGTTAGACGTTTATTTATTTGTCCCCTCATATTTTCTTCTACCTAGTCGCACGTAGACGTTCATGGTAAAAGTTGAATACTGTTGGCCGTTTTGCACAATATAGCTAGCTCGGTTGCGCCGCTTGGTGTTTGGTCTGTTCGCCAAGCTTGGCATCCATCCTTTTAAATTCGGACTTGAGAACTATAGCAAAATTCTATCGGAAAGTTATCAGGACTGTGTGCTAACGCAGCTTGTTCTCCAAATTGCTTGAGGCTTCAAACATTAACTACTGCGTTAAAATCGAATTCATGGGGTCTGGTTATTAAGAGTGAAGCATGCCGTCACTGCACTGTGTCTAACTGACGTACCCACAGCTGGGTTCTGTGGAATAGTGATCATTAGCTGAGACGTAAGGGCAGTTATGGAGGACTAATAAAAAAAGATGGAAGGCCTCGGCATTCGGATGTTTTCGCTCATATGCCTTGCTGTATGTAACGAATATGGTGACCAGGCTGGTGTGGGATGTAGGTGTGTGGTCCATGATTGCATGTGGGAGACACGAGATGGCTCAGTGGTAAGAGTGCGAATTTACTGACCGGAAGGTCCGTGGTTCGAACCTGACCGTCTCCTGTTTAGACTTGGTCAACGTGACGGTATTCTAGCCCTTGTGCTTCCTTCGAATGGCATGGCAGGGTGTTGCAGCTGTTAAATCGGATCGGAATTGGGATTGCATGTGGTAGTACTGTGGTATTCTCAGACTAGTCAAACCTGGACAGAAAGGCGATTAACTTCCGCAACCAAGGCATTAGACACAAGGGAGTGATAGGTGTTATAAGACAACCACAGTAAACCGATTTTTTAAGAAGCAGGTTGTCAAACTTGTTCTAAAACCCAATCTGTCGTGTCACGGGACTGTTTGTCAGGCCCCTATCCACTGACCAACCTGGTAGGAGAGAATGAGTAAATGCTTTACTGGCATCGTCCCCTTCATTAGACTGCTCTGTCAATAAACCGTTGTACCAAGAATAGGTCCTTCCTGACCGAAAGATCGAGAATACACCGCAAAGCGAAGCTTCAGTCGACACGGACGGGAGTTGGTTCAGATAAAAGCGCATAGCTTGAGTGGTAGCTAGGACGTTGCTTGCAACACCATGATGGCTTTATCACCTAATTTTATCACTCCCATCCAATGTACGTTGGAATCAGGGCCTGTCATTATTTCGGTGTTTCCCATTCATATTTTGCGGGAACTCGCATGATTTGGGCGGATGGTTGGTGCTGCACACACATTATGGGTTTCTGCCCTCACCGGAACTTTTCTGGAAAGACCGTATAGACCGAGCGGAACCTGAATGCTAGCTCTTGTATTATATTAATAAATAGGAACTTTCAACTGCAGCACCCTTTAGGTGCCACTCCAGAGAAGCATGTGGGCTTTGATGCTGCCGGGTTGTCCTAGCCTGGACGGAGGTTGGCTTAGAACCACTGACCTTCTGGTCAGTAAGTATGCCATAATCACTGAGCTATCTCGAGTTCAACTACCTATCGACAACGGAAGCCCAACTTGAAGTTTCATTATGTTGGTGCAACATAACACCTTATCCAAACTGTTTTCATTCCGCCCTTTTCAATGGTGGCTGTCCGGCTAGTCCGGCCGCTTTGCCCTATAAGATCTTGGATGAAGACAACAACGGCGAAATGGAGTGCTTTGAAGGCCCGTCCTGTATTCAAGAAGAGTGAAAAATCTTTTTGTGAAAACGACCGGGGCATCTGTCTGCCCTAGTTTCAGGATACTGTATGTTATAATCCTACATACGTTGGTCCACTATCGGGAAAGCCAGATGCGCGAGATTTCACGCCGGTTTCGCCCTGGCGTTGATAATGTCCCCGCTTTTCACAACTACTGAGACTGCACCATTCCTTACGCCGACTGACTGAGGTCGCTTTTCTCGATCTGAAGATATGATAGTGGCTAGCGACGAAGGGTGTCCCTTCTTAGTCCTTATTCATGACAAAAGCGTTTCATATCTGCGCCCGCGGACGCGTACTTAACTACGGCCAGCTCTTTAGTTCATCACACCTCACTACATTTTAAGGCATTTCGAACCTGCATCCTCCCGGCTAGTAGTTGAAAACGCAACCTTTCAGCTACGAGCGGCTGATCGGCGCTGTGATTTAGTCTCACCTAGACAGAATATTGCGCCACTGGTCTGTCAATCGGGTAAGCCACATCACACGGCGAACCAATCGATCCTCCACTAGCGATGTTTGGAATCGACGGTGACCCCTTTTTGTTCTGTCTTAGCTGGATTGTTTGAACTGATTTCGGAACAAGGACATGCATCAGATAGCTAGGTCGTGACATAAAAAAGTCAATGCGCGCACTAACAGGCCGCGAGCGAAATGCACGAACTTATGTTTTGTGGAATCAGACAAATTTCACAGGCTGAAGAGTTGTGTGTAAGGCGGTTGTATGATCTGTTTTGATCTATGGTTATGGAACTTGTCCCCTCTGATCCTGAGAAATGAGACGGAATCAGACTTTTGATCATCGTTGCCTTCGAAGTATAGCGTGCTGAAACGTGTTTGCAGTGAAGTGTTGATGAAGCATAATCACTGAAGCGACAAGGCCCTAAAGTGGTTTGGATTTTTACTACGCATTTGACAGCTTAACACCAGGATTTACTACGATGGTAATATTGACGATGGCGTACATAGCTCCCTCAGACATAGGTTATCATGTGTCTAGAGGGTAACGGAGAGAGCTGGTAAATTACGAAATCGCATTGGTGGGAATCGCTTTTGTTTCCGGAAACCGTCGTCCTGCCTAATAGAACATTTGCCCGCAAAACGGCTGGATGTATAGATAGATCGTCGCAGAATAAGTGTTCAGATGGCTCTGAATCTTTCTGCCACTAGAAACCTCAACAGCCCCTGGTGATCAAAAGTGCTTCTTGTAACTTGTGAAGCTGTTTTACATGCACTCCTATGGATGCATACGGTCCTGCTAGAGACTCTTATCCGAGTTTACCACATCCATGAGTGTTAGAAAGATTGGTATCTTTTCATTCGTCTGCTGCTATCTCGAACACGCTGCATTGACATGCTGCTTGGAGCTTCTGGGCTAGCTGATGAACTTCGGCATCTTGATACCTTCCCGGAATGCTTACCCACAGACACTTGGTAGGTGGTTGGGATGCACTTCAGGTGCAGTGCACTGCACCTAGAGAGCCCTGCCGCACAGCTTTATATGATTACAGGACTGGTTGGGAGCAAGTCCAAACCTCATTCTTGCAGGCTAACAGTTGGCGTGGAAGGTAAAATTTCCGTGGGTAGTGGCATAAATGCCGGTAGAGTGAAGAGTGCATTACATATTCGAAAATGATGGGAGGTTTCACCAACTTTCGATGCCTGTTATGCTGTCGTGACGTCAACACGTACCAAGGACATACCATGCACTGCGAGATTACAGTTTTGGTTCTGACCGTTCACTCAGCTTTCTTCTTGCAGCAACTCCATCAGGCCACTTTACTGTGGCGGAAACACCGTTTTCAGTGCCCATCTGCTACTTTTTACCTTTGGAGAAGTTTAGTCAGTGCACTCGAGTCTCAGACAGCCTGAAGATCGATTTGCTTGCTTTTTATTGGTGAACTTTATTTGCTGGTTGTTTCTATTTCCATTCACTTTGCAGACTGTCCCCCTCCCACGGTTGGTAAAGTTTACCAACCTAAGAATTCAAAGATCCCGATCAACAATTTCGTTTCGTTCCACCTACCCAACGTTTTACTTTAACCGTACCTGCAGGCAACGATCATCAGCATGCTGATTGTATAGAGAGCAGCGATGGTTGTTTTAAGTTTTTTTTTAAAAAAATTGCTGGCGTATTATTATGTGGTCCCGAGGTTAATAGGGTGAACCGGCGATCATGCTCAACCTGGTGCGTCCAGCTCATAAAGACTGATTCGGAAGTGAAACAGCCTTGTGATGGTGCCTATCGGCTGGACAAGTTTTGCTTAACTGACTACCAGTTGTTAATCATTTGCCGTGAAACTAGTAAAAATGGTTTAGGTTACACTTAGAAATGTGTTTGTTCGATAACTACCTTCCATAGACCTTGATGCATTCTCATGTCGCTTAGGACCCTCATGTTCACGGTAGGCTGCATTTTCTCATGTTGAGGGTCTTCTCTGGTGCTAGCAATTTTTCACTCTTCCCTAGGTTGAGTTTTTTTAACTTCTTTGAGAAGGTTATCTCTAGGCCGTACGACGAGTTGTTCTTTTTTCCGAACCTGATTTCACCTATTTTGTTACCCTTCGTAAAGCAATCCAAACCGGACGAACTTGGTGACTCTCCGTTCAGATACCACAGTGATTGGGGTGAAGGACTTACCGACGTGCGAGAATCCGTCATCTGTGTACTTGATGTAGCTAACGAGAATGTGTCGTGCATTGTTTCTCCATCCCTGTTACCTGGATTCACACCTACTCATCCCGTTTGGTGTCCAAATGACGAAGGTCTGATCTTCCTTGGATATGCTTTGAAGGCTTATCGTTTAGGAGTCAAGTACTGTCTCCAGCGCGCATGCCAGCTGTTTTTCCTCGACTTCCGTGAGTGTCTGCTGAGTCGAGTACTAACAAACGTGTGGAAACGCATGTAATTTATTTGGTCTAACTGGAGGCCCAAATGTGGTAACATTATCACTTCTGCTTCACTACTGCACAATCACCAGGCTATAACCTGGTGATTAATTAAAATTAAGCCCGTTTGTCAACTTGGTGCGCTCATTCCATCCCAAAATCCTTCTATATGAAATTTACATCCCGTCTGAAAAGTGACTAGGAATTAAATGTCAGTTTTTCCGGCCTAAGGGGTCGGGCTAGAATGCACGTTGGGGGGCTTGTTGCCATCGCATTAGTCACCTCAATTTGGAAGGCTCGATTGGTCTAGTGGATGAGAACATGGTCTACCAATTTGATGACTAGGGTGCAGCCCCTATGGATAACCCCACCTTGGCTGTCGACTCTGTGCACGTGTTTTCGAAATAGAAAAGTAGAAATGTGCACTTTATACGGTTTTTTCCTTGTCTGTTACTCTAGTAACCGAACTCGTAAACAGAAAAATGACAGGTGATATAATTTGAGACGAGCTATTATGGGGAAAACGACTATTTGTGCGTCGACATTTTACCATAAGAAGATCAACGGATAGTGCGCCTTTTGTCTATCTATGCATTTATATGCGTTCAAACATTTCCGTTTGACTTATAGCTCACTGCTTCATCTCACTCGATTGATTCGGGGCCATAGACGATTCTACTGAAAACCCCTTTGGTATGTCATTCTAATCAGCCGTTTTGTTCATGAAACTGCTATGTCAGGGTATACCTAAGGGGGCTGTATTTACGACCCAACCCTTCCTGACGATACGTTCGCTGAGGGCACATTACAGCTACACACAAGAGGTATCTGTAAACTTTTATGTAGAACATTGCCGTCAATTCTTCGCTCAACTACTCTGTGGATTTGAAATAACTGAACATTTCAGGACGAAATTATGCCTCTCTCTTCATAGGGGACAAATGCAACAAACGTACCTTTCAGGGATTGGTTTCAGTTTCGGTATATACCGAGCTGATGGTGGCAATTTTAACGGAGAACACATGTTTATGTCTGTCACAGTCTCACTAGCCAGAAGTTTCGCACAAAAATGAGTAAAAAAAAGTGATCCGTGGATACCGGTGCAAATATTCCTCTGGAACTACAGCTGTTTTCCGGATGTCAATTACAGCTGTGGCAGGATGGCTTGCATATATATCTTGGACTGAAGAATTTTCACCGTGTTATTCCATATTTCGCGCAATGTATTGTACAAATTGACTACCAAGTGTTCATGTGTGCGAGTACATTAGGAGTCATCCTCATGAGTTTCCTAGGTTTATCATCAATCTGTAATTTTTTCGCGTTTACCATCAGTTATCATACTTCGGGAAGGATAGGTATCTGATTCATCCAAAACCCATCCAACGACTTCATCCAAAGTTGCGTCGTGTCTACTAACTAGTAATGAAACAGCTCTTTGATCGCAATTCGCTTTTTTTACTGACTCGAGTACTGGCCTTCGACAAGCCTGCAACAAAGTATAGAAGCACTTATGTTTTTCACCACAATACAGCCTCGGGTCATTGAAATTAAATGTCTTCTTAGCCAGCCTGCAGCAGACCCTGATTTTTACCCCTAAAAACCTCAAGTTGGTGCCTCTTCATCAGCTTTCCATGTAATGTTATATCAACACAAGTTGCCCATTTTGACATGTTTAACTGACTAGACATAATCTAGCCTTTTAACACTTGACATTGCGTAACCTTGTTCTAATACTCCGCCCTCCTGTCTAGTCGCGACAACAAGTGGCTTTTTTTAAATGCACTTAAGATTCTTAGTAACCGTATAGTATTGCTTGTTTACTGAGAAGCTTCTAGTTTATCAACTTGAAGAGGCTATTGATTAGCGAAATACACTCATTTTCATACTAATTTGGTTTTGACGGGAGACTCACTTGGAACCCAGCTGAATCCCTCGTTTACATGTTTTAAAGCGAATGAATATGCTGCACCAGGCTTCCTCATGTTTCAGTTGGCACGATATTCGAGATATCGTGATACATCGTATGGACGTAATGCACTACTCATGGGGTTGCTGAAAACTCTCCGACAACCCACGACCGATTTCGCTTAACAACTGGTCGTGGGCTACCGAAGAGTTTTCTGCAACCTTATGAGTTGCGTTGATGGTGGTTTTCACACGACACTGATGAAAGACCAGTGAGAACATTGTCCACACACTCATTAAACTATGACAGAGTGATCTGGAACGCGATTGCAAAAAATGCCATCAATATCTCCTTCGATGGAGCATAAGATGATCCTGTAATTTCGTTGCACCTTTTATACCTTTTCATGTTTCGATTTCGGTTGAAACTATACGTACTTGTTACGTGGACATCAGTCTCTCGGGGTGCTCGATCTGTCATGTTTTTTGAGCCAGTCACTATGACTTCAAAGATTCATTCATCCCTTAATTGCCAGGCACCCAGAAATTTCATGCGCTCAGCGAGGCAAACAAAGCGGCTGATTGCCCTCGTTTCAGCCCTGATGGCAGTCGTCTAGTGTGGTTGGAAAATTCCGTCGGCGGACCCCATCAACAATGTCGCTCACTGATTGGCCTCGATTGGCCCTGGATCGAGGGTAAATCGAAACCACAAACTCTTGTACCTGTGGTGGATTCTCCTGAAAGACCTAACGGCTTTCCAGGTACATTTACTTCTTCCATTAACATTCGTTAACATTCTAATGGACAGGTTCTCACTTTCGTGTCATTTTCCTCCTTAATGAGATACATTGAAGACAAACAGCTGCATTTGGTCTAAGGTGCCTCTTCCTGAGCTAAAAACAACTGCGGAAGGGATTCGGCCTAGCTTGGCTGATGGTCGCATGTTCTTCAATCTGTGGATCACCAGCGACTAGAATATCTCTCATATGCCTTGACCTTGTGCTGTATGATTTCGTCAGTTTCTTCTGAGTCTGTTCATCCTTCTTCTTCACAGTAACAGAAGCAGCTGCAAAACGCATGCTGCTCTTCAGAGTATCTTGGTCACAAACGGCTAGAACTTTATACAAAATGGTGCGAACACGTGTCTGAACAACATAGCTTTGATATTCCCTAAAGCCTTCGACTAGTGTACCGCGCAGATGTTAAAACCCGAACTTTTTTAAACCAAACTGGCTTTGAAAAAAACGTTGTTATCTGATGGTTTTATTTGCACCCATCAACTTCAACCCTCCGTTGGAAGAATCCAACACGGTCTGAGGACTCAACGTCCCACTATAATGAATACCGAAATCCCTATGTATCTGTACGTGATAAGAATATCGTCTGAGTTACTGCTAGTTATGCTTTCTTGGCTACTACATCAGGTATAAAAAATGGAGCCTTGATAAGGAAGGTTATTGGTCACGAGGTCTTATGGTTACAAACCTTATTTGCATAGTGCACTTGACACAGATGCGATCCAGCCAAATGCCCTATTATCTATAAAAACTGGCAAGAACTGGTTTCGCCCTTTTTCAGACACAGTGGTGGGTTCCTGTCTGAATCAATTTCATTTTTCACTTAAACATCAAATTGGGCGTATATTGTGACAGCACCTATTCGCAAACTGATTCCGCACTAACGGAAATTTGTTTTGTTTTCACGTAAATTTATTATACATGTTCTAGCTATGTAAACTCGTTGATAATAGGAACATTTTTTGTCCTTCAACCAATGAGCCCTCATAGGAGCGCTAAATTGATATAACTGTAACGTATGCTTAGTTCAAACCGGTAAATTACAATCTGAACAGGGGACACTAAGCTCCTATCTGGCAATCTCAGTGGAGATTTTTAAAGCATCGTGTTGAGACGTTTCAAGCACATCAGAGACGATTCGGAATGGCTCATGTCAGGGCACTGACTACTGTGTGTAGGGAGCGTAATTCGAATATAACTATGGTCTCTTGATTGTTGCTGTCTAGGTTTCGACAGTTTGCAAGCATTTCATCCTTCGTGTGTCCTTTGGGTTGCATGGCGGCTATGCACCAAAAGGACGCCACTACTGGACGACTGTTGGTACTGTCCGTATGCAGCGATTTTTATTCGTCAGCCGCAGCTTGTACGTTCGACAACATACGGAATCTGTTTCAGCTTTTCATGCACGAATGACTGCGATAAAATGGTGAGCAATTAATCGAGTGAGAAGAGATTGGTGGTTTTGTCTCTGAAGGCTGGTTCACTTAAGCGGGATAACTGCTTAGTTTGAACGTCTCCGGGTAATCACTGGACTAGGGACTGATTGGTTGGTTGGAGGCTAGTTCACTGGCCACGTTGATTCAGTTCACGTTCATTTATTCAGTTAACCTATCCGAACACTAGATTAGATTTTTTCTAGCACATGAACTTTTGTGACATTAGTATCCACTGCGGAACATTACATAGGGTTACTTTATGTTCGTTGGTTATTTTTCTGCACAAGGTGTACAACATTGTCTTTTTGTTTTCCGTCAAAGGACTTTACTGTGGTTTGCCAGAACACTGCTGGACTGCAGACAGTCGTTGCTTGGTCGTGTCATCCATTTGGGGCTTTGATCTTGCTCCGCTGTTAATTGTTCTCCCGGAAACATTTGATGGCCGTTTGGCTGAAATTCGGAAAATCCCCTTCATCAATGATCTCGGTTGTCTTGAGGATAATGGAAATAATCCTATTTCGGTTGACATCCTGGATGTTCACTTTGACGTCGTCGCCGCTTGCTTTAGCTCCCCGGTTCATCCTCCCTGTCTGGCTGTCATGCACGTTCCAGAAACGGAAGGAGGAAGTGACACTTCGTCTTGGTTGGCTAGGTACAAGTAAGCGGTATGCTAATGGTTTTGGCTAAACCGCTGTGTTGATATCTTTATTTGTATGATCGTTTCCAATGCTGATGATGTCCACACTGGGCTATTTCCACGCGTGTACACCTCTTTAGGCTAAACTTGAATATTGTCGACTCCGATTTTGTGCAGCTACTCTTTCGGTTGGTATCAATACTGTTCTTCCCGTACATTGTAACGCATGACATGTCCGGGACATCCCGATCCATGCATCGATAACTTCCGGCGGACACCCATCGTGGTTGTTTGTGCTCCTCTACCCTGTTTATACGTTAACGTAGCAGAAGAACAAAGCGTCGTCTCGGGACGTTCGAAGTAATGCGAACAAAATCAGTTGCGTTAGTCAACTCTGATGAATTTCAGAATGCTACGCAACTAGATTAAGTGCACTTTTCGACCTGCCTCGTTCCCCGCCCAATAACTTACGGTCCTAAGGAACCAAAAGCGGTTCCTTCCTATAGCGCATGAGCTATGCCTGATCAAGTCGGAAAAGTAGAGACAAACCAACGGTTCTGTAGACAGCAGCTTTGTAACCAGCAAAGCACCAAACAACAGCGCCCACTCCCGCAATAGAATGCTAGGGTTTCAGCTCCAGTAAGCCGGCACTACAGGTAACATCTAACCAAACATTAATTCGGGGCACTTGGTGTTTGCTATTTCCCTGGATGAGCACATCGGAAGTGGGCGCACTAGTGGCTAATGAAACCAACAGTCATGTAGTTGTTGATGCGCCTGGACCAAAAGTTATAGCCTTCAACACATTCCTGGTCGATTTCTAATTANCGATTTCTAATTATCCAGACAATTAGGACGATTTGACTTCAATTAACCAACCGAACCATCACCTCCAGCACACAGGTTTTCCTATCCGTAATTCCGTTGTCGTCGGTGAACGAAACGAACCAAAATACATGATCTATAGCTGGTTAGTCGCAGTAACTCGGCCTATGCCACCCAAGTAAGTGGTGCGCTACTAATCAGAGCACAATTTTCATCCTGTCCAAATGCACACTGCGCATGTCGTTTCCGTACCAACATGTTGACTTTTTCGGATGAGGTGACCAGGTTGTCTAGAATATGCCAGTATACCGACTGACCAGATTTCACATCTTGGAAGATAGGCACTGCTGTCTAGATCTAACAAAAGAATAACTACTGCAGTGTGCACTGCCCCGAATAATCGTGGCATGGCATCAGAGTTATTCAGATGAGAGTGAGATGGATATAAACGCTCGCTTATTCTGTACCTGTTTCGTCCAATGTCCTCTAGGTGGCAAATCATCCCCTCTGGAGCGCTTACCAATAATTCTGGAAGTATGCCACCTTTTTTCTCCGGAATAAATTACTCCATCATTCGGTCTTCTCGGACAAGTTGTGAGGCACTGTTAGCACGGCCAAATGGCAGTGTCATCAAACTTCAAAGTTAGTTTGTTTTGCATATCATGCTGGGCTTTATGCGCACAATATTTCCTCGTTATGTAAGCGCCGCCTGGCAGTATGTAGATTGTCTCCAATTTTGGAGACTATTTGGTACGTTTTCTTTCGAGTTGTGTGGATCACTGTTTAAACGTTTCCTACAGGAAAAAGCGTTTTCACACTTTAGCCACTTATGAGTCATAGATCTTCACCTCATATAGTTTAAATGCACACGATGGCTTGGTGAGATGGAAGCAGCTCTTCACTCAAGAGGTTTGGGAAGACATCTAAACAGATGCTTCGAATCACCGTACAATCACACTACCATGAAATTTTGTTATCCCGCGGTGATTGGTGTGGCGTAAGATAAAGAAAATTGGTATAAGTTATGCTTGTTTGTTCACTGGGATACTGTCAGGGCGTCCAAATGTAGACATACGAGCGACCAGGGTCGTTAAACAAACTGTTAGACCCAAATCTTAACCACAAATGGCAGAGATTATTAGGATAGCTCCTATGGGACATATCGCCATCGCCTCCAAATTAAAGACTGTTTGCCTTGTTGTTGTTGCTGTATATCTATCCTCAAAACTGAATGACCTAACCCGTCGTGAGCATATTGACGGTCTCGTATATGAAATGCCAATTTTCGTTTGAGCTATGGTCCTGCACTTGCTCCTCCTCACAGGCTAGATTTGACCTGCTTGCCTACAACGACTATATTCGGTTGGACTACTCGTTGATGCCGTAAAATTGCTGTTTCCCGTACAACACTGAGCTGTTTTCTTAACTGTGGCATCTTTTGCTAAATTGGGGTAATGAAAAGTACTTGTTGAATTTCAAGTAACTGTTCGAATGAAAATCTGCTTCCTCCACTTTCTTTTCTGAAAAATTCTGAAGATAAGGAAGCTGACACTTCGCAGTTCGGTGAAGTTCCACTGCGAAACTCACAACCTCGTGGCCTGATTGTTTTCCCCCATGGAGGCCCACACAGTGCCTTCACTTCGTCGTGGTCCCCAATGCTGGTTGGTTTCATGGCTTCAGGATTTGCTTGCCTGTTGGTGAACTATCGTGGATCCTTGGGATACGGGCAAGAAAGTTTGCGTTCACTGTTGGGCAACATTAGTCGGTGTGACGTAGAGGACTGTGTTGAAGTAAGTTTTTTAGTGTCCGTTTACTGAATTCATTATTGCTTGATCCTTGTCTGTTACCTATGTCCTTTTGTTGGTATTCTGCACACACTACATCACTGAGATTAATTGTTCGTTTTCCTCTAGTCGGGTCTCTGTTTCCGCTTAGGAATTTTCCCAGTGGTATTCCTCTCTCTCCTCAATGTCACTCTAGCCCCTTATGCCTCATTTCGTTGGCACTAGATGTTGAGGATAGCTGCCTGTCCTCAGTAGAAATGTTTCATCATTGGAGGTTATTTAATTTCTGTTGATTCATGTTGTTTCGGATAATCATTTTCATTGCGTGATGGAATATTTTGCTTTCGATCCAGTGGTAATAGTGATCAGTGTCCCTGTCATCAAGGTCGTTACAACCGAAAATACATCAACTCGGATACGTTGGTATATCATTTGTATATTGCATGGGGATTTGGGGCGAGATGGCTCGAGGGGTTGGAGCGCGAATTTACTGACCGGAAGGTCCGTTGTTCGAACCCGACCTCTACCTCTCGACTTTTCTTGTCTACGCTCGGGCAACCTGGCAGTATCCCAGCCATCGTGTTCCCTTCGGGTAGCATGGCATCTAGGCACCGGAAGGGTGTTACAGCTGAGTGAGCATGAGGGTCAACAAGCAAAGTTCTCGAGAACAGTTCAGTAATGGCTCTATTTTAGTATTCAAATCCAAATTTCCAAGGGGCGTTATACCGTAAGTTTTGTTCGGAAAAATGTTGGGCTACTTCGTCAGTGTTTCTTGCCGGGGTAGGTGTTGATGGTGGATTGCCAGCAATGCGATAGGTGCGACTGGTATAACACTTTATTGCTAGTTGGTATTGCTGTTGCAGCAACTCTTGAACTAACCCGTTCATGAATTTAAAAGACTGCATACTTTGTGACGTCGTATTTTGTACATATGCCCCAACAGTAAAAATTAAACCACTGGACTTATTTTTCCGGTCACTTTAGTTAAAAAATGGCCTTAGTCAGATGAGAACGGTCATTGACCTGCACAGAAAACATTAACACTACTGAATTGATCAGCCGGGTTGGTCCGCTCTGGCAGTTTTGCGAAATATTTGAATCATACTCGTGGTCAGCATGGACAGATGTTTTCAACAGAAAAGTGTTCCCCCTCCAAAAAACAGGTAATTTCCTGCCAAGTTAAGTGAAAATTGTTGGACTGAAACAATATTTGTAGGAAGCAGGAACGGCGGATGTCTCTTTTTCTTAGGTGGTGCTTTCTGTGTGTCATTTTCTACTTCTTTTGAAATGTGTCCCCCTCATTTATGCCTCATCGAGTTGCGCCTGTGCCTAGTTACTAATCTGGTGTTCTGGTGGTTGTGAAACCTTTGTTACTTCGAATATCGAAGGTTCTTGCATTCCACTATTTTCCGCTACTAAAATAATCGAGGCCTTTGTGTCGGAGGGGCAATTTCTGTTCGTAAAAATCATGTGGCTTGACAAAATGTTTCGCGAAAACTTGTTGCACATCGGTAGGTCAACCTTGGCGCTCTCTAGAGGGCACAACTTTTCCATTTTACACTAGTGGTGAGTCCCATTGTGCTCCTGTGGCCACCTGTTGTCGTCCTGTCCGAATGAGTCACATATCTTCAAGTAAATGAATTCGCGATCCGGATTCGCCTTCACAGCTACAATTCTATTCGAAGGTAATTTTGTTGATGAGCTTGCCCTGATAAGTTAGGACCTCTTCTCAGTTTCCCAGTTTAAGCGAGAAAAACCTAGTTTGGTGAACCATTTGTGTTTAGAAAAACCGCGCAAACAAACGGAGGGAGTATTCGAAACAGAGCATGAAGCGAAGCAATTTTATGCATCTACACAGCTGCACTATTACAGTATGTATTTTTCTAGGACACACTTCCACCACCACTTTCCAAAACTATTTCTTGGACAATTTTTATCCATAGGCGACTCATTCGGCCTTGACATTGCTTGAGAAAGAATTTGGTTGTCAACTTCCCGCTGTACTTTTCGGTGGATCACATGGGGGATTCCTTGTTCTACATCTTGCTGCTCGGCATCCAGCACTTTACCGCGCCGCAGTGGCTCGTAACCCAGTCAGCGATCTGATCACTATGTCGAGCATCAGCGACATCCCGGATTGGACGTATGCCGAATCGGGTCTGGATAACGGTGAGCCATGGAATTTGGGCACCATACCAAGTTTATCCGAGCTGGAAGTGCTGTCCAAAATGTCACCTCTGTTTCACTTAAATTGCTCGTGGTCCGTCCCACTGCTACTTCTGCTGGGTGCAAAAGATGTCCGAGTTCCTATGTCTCAGGTTAGTGGTTTCCTCCCAGTTACTCTTCGTCACATCAGCACCATAGAGTCATATTCATTGACTTTACTTTCACATAATAGGGACTCACTTTGTTCAACCTGTTAATCTGTATTCTGAAATTCCACGGTGTATCGAATTCCTGTGAAGTATATTCCTGTTGGCCTACATTTCAGCAACCTCCAGACACTTTGTCGATGTAAAACTTTAGCAGATGAACCCAAGTTTTATTTGGTGCGCCCCTTACAGTTGAGCTTCACATGCACAAATCAACTTTGTAAACTGAGACACATAATCTACCTCATGGTTCGCGAAAAATTCTACCCACTGGCTACAGGGTTGTAGCCAATACAGCGTTCAGAATCTCACTTCCCTTCGGTGTCAACCCGAGAGTGCCAGCTATCAGGGTTCATGTTGAATGATCAATACCCACCCAACTTGCGCGCACAAAAGAACTTGACGCAAACACTTGGCTTGCTTTGGAGTCGAGAGGTGTGTCTTATTGGCCATCGATGCGATTGATTTCATTCCACTTTCTTATTCCTATTGATGTTTTTAGTGCTTCGGCCGAAGGGCTAAAAACGGAATGTCATCTCTCGGCCTTCTCATCTCAATGTATTATTCAAATGGACAAAGAGATACAATGTCTTAAGTGTTCTAAGTTTGCTCGATTATCTGCTAATTGTTTCGCCTCTTCTGCAATCGGCCTTTCCATTTACTCGAATCTAGTGGGCTTGTTTCTTCAATGAGCTTCCCCCTCCTAAGTTCAGGGGGTTCGACCATACGCATTGTCTATTTCCATTGTCCATTCTTTTATGTTCCAGGGTATCAACTTTTACCACAAACTCAAGGCACTCAGTCCGTCTGTGGCTTGTGAAGCCCATGTATATCCACAAGATGCTCATCCTTTGGAGTCACCAGCAGCAGATAAGGATGTTTTCCTCCGAACAGTCAATTGGTTCTACACTCATCTCCAACTTTCCGTGTGATGTTACACTTTTCAGTTGACTAATATTTTGATCATAATGCGCGCAAATGTAGGATTGCGTCGCACAGCTTCCACATGATTTCCTGTTTTGATCATGTTTTGAAGGATTAACTTCGTAAATAAATATTTATATGCTGTGAGATTTCCCTCCTGCTATTCTTTGTAGGACCTCCTTTTCGTTTGAAAAAAAACACGTATATGTCTCGTCTTCTGGATTTCCGTCCAATTTTCCCCATAAATTTTGAAATGGATTTTCTTAAAAGACAAGATTCTTAGGGTGATTTGATTGAAATCTAAGCGTGGCCTCTTGTTTCACTGAGATATCCCGAGGGAAGTGTATGCTTAGTTACCTGCGATAGGTAAGACATCACTTAGGGCTGCTTAATATCGCTTTGTTTCATCGTTCGATTTCTCGGGTGAGATAGCCCAAGTGGTTAGATCGCGAATTTACTGACCGGAAGGTCCGTTGTTCGAACCCGACCTCCGCCTTTCGACTTCCCTTGTCTGGGTTTGGGCAACCTGGCAATATCCCAGCCATCGTGCACAGAAAGGGTGCTACAGCTGAACGATTACTTTTGACTTCTTCCGGGGCAGTTTTGACTTCTTGCCAAGATATCTTAAAACCTACTATCAGGAATTCTCCACATGGAACTGACGTAAATTTCAATACACACCTGGTTCTCGCACATCTGAAATGCACACGCTGTGGGCCTCACGCGTAGCCCCCGTTGCGTGTGGATCGGACTCACATTTGTGATAATGGCCACTATTTGTATGACCAGTTATTGTGGGAAGTCCATACAAAAGGGAAATTTTTTGGGCCTTGTTTTCGCGTTTGGCGTTGATCTACGTAATTGCGCTTTATTCGTTCGATATAAGTTAATGTGCAAGTGGTTGCTCGCCCTGGCCTGTAGTCAACATCCCGACAAGGTCACGGATATACCCTCTTGACAATGAATGGTCCGGGATGAGCTTCAGACGAGCAGAATATTCCTATCCACTGAATAGGTATCATGTCTTCTATCTCACGCCCCGTATATCAATAAGCATTTCGGACTCCGACGCGTTCTCAGATTGGGCCACCGCCGAAGTCACTAGTTGTTGGTACCACTAATGGCTTTGAAGTATGTTTGACAATAAACGTAAGGCCTGCGTGAAAGAAAATCGTATGTCGGGAACTCAATTGAAATTAATTCATTTGCTTCCTGATGCAAGTCAGCTGATCCAGCAACATGACCATTCCAGACCTTTGTTCCCGGGTGGATGTTTGTGAACTTGGTAATCTCATGGTTATACTACAGTTGAGAACGCATTTATTGCACCATCCATTCAGGCGCCTTTGAGAGTCCCTCTTCGCCCTATCTTGTTGCTCTTTATCTTCACGCAGTGTCATCATCAACATTGTCAGCTGTGATAACCGCGTACTTGTACAGTGGTTGTAGCTGCCAATTTCGTCCGCCGGTGATTTTGAAGATGGGGTAGGTAGCTGCGCATTGGAGGCGGAAGTTGATAAATTATTGTGTAAATACAGCACTATAGGTGGGCCATTTTTCATCTGAAGTTGATCTATTATAGTGGAATGCTGTAGTAACCAGATGGAAAAATGAATCACCCAGGTAGAAGTTAAGATTTTTGTATGCGGGAGCACTGATGTTGAATTCGTCCGGAAAAGATGTATTTCCTTGTTCCAAGTTGAAGCACTTACTAAGCCTGACTGTTATATAGAAAGATTGTCTGAATAGGCGAACTCAGCCCAAGTGATAAAGCTCTCGAGTAATTTTTAGCGCGGTATTCTGCTCGCTCCGCTCCTAACGAAGGCTGCCCGAAGTGACAAACGAGTAGTAGAGATCATTGTTTAGGGTTGTGCACGATTCTGGATCTCTCATGGCGACCGTGTTCCATCTGTGCCAAAACTGCTGTCCGACTGAATTTATTGTTATCTCAGAATGAGAGCAAAATAGTCTATCTTGCTCAATGAGCCCTCGTACCAGTGACGAAGGAGAATAGTCGCGTATATGATATTGGTTTGCAGTTCTAATAGATTTGCTCTTGTGAATTGTTAAACCCTGTCATGTCCGGCCGACGGTTCGAAGTTGTTTTTGCAGATCGCTTTTTCCTGAGGTGTTATACACTCGCGGATGATCGAGCACCAGCGCCAGCTAATTTTGCTGTAGACGCCTATGCTATCCCGGATTTTGTAGGGAACCAACACGGATAGCTAATAAGTCTCCAGTTATTTGTAGCATTGACCACTCACTCTGCGTTAAGAATGAAGCAACGTGGAACGCCACTCCTACTGCGTGTCCTTGATAAAGACCACCTTCGGCGGTTAGGAAAGTTAGTTTAACATACCCGGTGTGTGCTTGGCATCATTTTCATAGTCGCTGTCATGCTACTGAATGATATAAAGTAGGCAAACGCTTTGCTTGCCGCAGGTCCCCAATGTGACCGTGAATCGTATGTGCCACTCGGGTTCAAACACATGTTGTCTCTGTAGATTACGGGAGCCAACATCCTTCCTCAGGTCCCTGAAAATTCACACGTTGTGCTGGGTTTTTCCATCAAATATCGTCACATCGTTCCGAGCCAATGAACAGCCGTGCTAGCAGCGGCACAGAGTTCTTTATTTCCAGATAAGGAAACGAAGTAATGTACAACGACGCAACCCTCGTTCTTGGATAAGCAACCTTGTGTTTCATAGGAAATCCAGTAGTGCTGTCCAGCTGTCCATTTTTTAGTATTTACCAACATGATACCTCTCACTGGCCATTGTTCGTAATATAAGTCAGAAACTTCCATGTATTGTTAGACTGATATCTGCGCTATCGGTCTAACGTGCCTGAATGACCGTGTATTTTGTATTCAAACGGCATGGCTCTTAGCCCGATGTGAAACCTTTCTCCTTCTGTTGAATTTCCGCCTCAGTAATGAAACTAATAGATCCTTCTGTGGTCTTATCTCACACAAGCGCAATGACCTTCACCAGCCATCCGTTGTGTGCAGCCTAAACAGAAAACCTGTGATCCGCTCGTATCCAACACAGGTGCTTCTGTTTCGTCATGCACTTTTTTACTTGCAGTTTGACTTTTTGTGTCGTATATGGATGCCGGATTGCCGTTGGTCAACGTACATGTAACTCCAAGGAATTTCACCACGCGATAAACCTCGATACAGACACGGGCACCACAGATCATTTACTCAGTTTTGGGTTTAATATTTCTGCGAATGATGTTTGGTAAACGCGTGTTTATTCCGGCATGCATACAGGATAAACGGGCTGCTAATAGTATTATTAAAAACGAGTGTAACATGATTTGCATCCTACGGAATGTACTGGACAGCTCTGATTATAAGGAAATCTCGGGCCTTACTGTAACGAACTAATGAGTAAAATATACTTATAGGAAAGGTTGAATGAAGAAAATTAACATAAGTGGTGTTCTATCCACCCATTTCCTGCAGTCAACCTTCATGATGTATCTATTGTGTGATGAGATGGACTCACAATAGCACTTTGAAGTTACTCTACCAACGTCACTTCAGGAAAAGCTTAATATCCCAAGGCATCGGTCATGCAACGGTGATTGCTAAACGTGAAACGTTGTTGCCATATCAACGGATTTCCTGTCCTGCGAGACAACACTAACGTCACCTCTGTTCATATAGTGCTTTAGGTTTTCATTGAGATCACCCACTCACTGTTGCCCATTCAAACTCAGATGCGTGATGAACAGCGCATCCTGTAATTAATAAATAACAACGCTCATTCATAATATCCCTTCGTCCTTCTGTGGGTGTTTTCTTTTCGTAAAAAATGTTTCCAGTGTTTCAATTGGCAGCTGACAAAGGTACGGTTATCTTGGCTCAAGAATCCAGTTAAGAGTATTGGGATATCTTGGGGCGCGAAATTCAGGTAGCTTGAAAAATTCGGTTTCGGTAATATCTCACGTTTGCAGTAAACGCAGCCTAGGATACTGAAACACGGTTTCCAATATCTGTCTTTGCGAACTGCACTTTCTGTTTACAATACTACTACTACTAATACTGATAACAATCGTTCAGCTGTAATATGCTTCCGGTGCCTACCTGCCATACCATCCGAAGGAATCACGATGGCTGCACTAGCGACCAGTGGGTCGTGTTTTCTGTCGTATCCTTCCCCTTCTAGTTTTCAAACCGTTTCATTTTATCGGGGTTTTGCCGATTTGGAAGCCTGTTTTGTTGGGAGATCAGGGAGTTTAAGCTCTGGCAGTCGGGAGCTTTTGCTAAACCGATGATTTCTTTTCCGACCATGTTTCAGCCGCGGAATGTCAGGTGTCGATTATGCTTTGGAAACGTTTCTTGAAAACGAAGATGACGAACTGGAGGGATCAGATCCTCTGGTAAGTGATTACCTGTTCGAAAAATGTTTGGTAATGTGATTACCTCTCGTTACTAATGTTTCTTACGGTCATTTTCAGAGTCAGTCAGCGACCACTGGTCTCATATTTCTTGTCGATTGCACACCAACCATGCTCGGGTTGGGGAACGCTGGTTGCGAACCCTTCGGTCTTAGACTGGCACTGCGCTGTTGTCAAACGGTGCAACAGAACAAAGCAATCAACTCACCTTGGGACGTGATTAGTCTTGTATTTATGCGTACAGTAAGTATTCCATGTCCCACTCCCACATTTCAGTATGTTTACCTGTTTGGTCGTTGTGAAAGGGGTCAGCAGTCCATGGCCGAGGATTTTCTGGCGTATACTTTGGGAAACCGGAAACCGTTAAATGGCCTTAGTTCCGTCGCTCTGGCGAGCTCTTGCGACGTTTAGCTCGGAGTCGTTGCGAGACCGTAATTTACTTAGTCCCAATATGATCACTAGGTTTTCAGTTGGTGTAATCTTTTCTCTGGATGATTCCCACATTTTTCAGTGGGAAAGACACTTCGAACACTGAAGTACTCTATAGAGGAAAATGTTGGTAGCTCAGGTACCGTAGTGGTTGGTTGTTGGCTTGTTCGCTGAGCTGGGCAATTTGATTGCAAACGTTTCCTTTATAAATGAAGGAATAAAGGAACACAACGCGGCCGTCAGGAGGGATGACCCCCCGTCCTTGATATCCATACACGAGGACCAAGAAGGCCACAAATTCAACTTGGAAAACGCAGAAATTTTGGCATACGGAAGCACGAGGCACGGAAAAGAATTTCTGGCAGCATGGTACTCCACGGCAAATTCGATCAACCGGTGCATCGAACTGGACCCAATTTACGCACCCCTACGTGCAAAAGACCAACAAGTCAACCGAAAAACTCAAGGAGGACCGAATATTGGATTCACAAACAACGAAACAAGGAACGCCTTGGAGGCAAATCAATAAAGGTCACAACCCAGGACTGGAAAGGACAAAGGTCAATCTAGCATCGACCAGATTACGACGGCAGGGGATGCGAAGCTCAAAGGTCACGTGGGCATCGGCGAATGGGGATACAGGACAACGGAGCAACCAATGGAATCACCCGACCGAACAACTAATCGCGACCAAAGGTCATCCCATGCTAGCAGCACGTATATTAACACACGCACAACACTACCCAACGCACAACCACCAACCCACCGATACGCACTACTACGCTCCACAAAAACGCGCTGATGATGTACCCTCGATTGCTGATGAGACGTTTGCAATCAAATTGCCCAGCTCAGCGAACAAGCCAACGACCACACTGAAGTACTTTTCTTGGCCCAGCAGGATGGAATTAAGGGTGATGGAAACTTGGGAACCGCGTCTAGCTGAGCATCTCCAAGAAGGTCCAAATGAGTAATGGTCTATCGGAGTTTTTTCAGCAACCCCGTTAGTAATATTAGATCATTCAACCTATTTATCTAACGGTAGCGAAATGGAATACCTTTTGCCTTATGCCTAGCAATTTTGAAGTGGAACATTGTGTTAACTCAAGGTACACAGGGACAATTCTGGCGAGCGTGGCTAAGTTTATCACCTCCCTTAATATTTCATAAGCCACATAATTCTTGGGAGCCTAATTCAGCCTCCGATCCTTTACTCCTCTTTTTTCAGCAATGCAAATTTACATACATTTGTTTCGTATTGTTTTAGAAACCTACCCAAGACTTATTTGTATATCGACCGGTCTTATTGGGAAGGAAACTCATCACTCGTGATTTCAGGACATCAGTAGTTCATCAACCGATATAAATTTCTGCGCTGTTGTAGGCTCTCACCGGATACTCTCAAGATGAGAGAATCTGTTCTCGTGTGCTTTGAACAGAGTAGGTTTTGCTATACAGAATCGTTCACCGAAGTGCTCCTACTCCGTAACAATTTCAGAGAATGGTCCACGATGTTACATGCTCATTATTTGTGGAGCATTCCACTATACATCGTTGGTGAATCTCTTACGTCACTGGGATAGTACGTTCAGTGCACACCATCCCGGGAGCGCATTCTCAACCCACTCATCAATGGCGCTTACTCAGGCCAAGTTTCCAAGTTACTGTATGCTCGAAAGATTCACAAATCGGTATCTCGGTAGTCTACGGGGATCGTGGGTGCTACCTAACGTACTGTTCCACAGGCCAGGCACCGACTGCTGTTTTCAGAGAGATATTGACTCACTTCGGTTGTGAGTTGGTTTACCAGCCGGTTTCAACAGAATTCCTCTGACTTCTTCTGGATTATCATTTTATTATACCTAACTCTGTTACTTGTCTTCTTTTTGTCGGAGACCACTTCTTCCGTACTATAGACAGCCATTATTGGTCAGCAGCCAGCCGATACCATGGCAAATCCTCTTCAAGATGACTGTCGCTGAAGAGGGATCATCATGACACACCGCTTCATCCACGGTCTAATATAAAGTCCCCAGGGAGGGGCCTAAAGCCCCTTACTTCCTTCGGAAGGTTCGCTTTATATTATTTTTTGTGCTGTTTGCGCTTGACTTACTCTACATTGTATAATCCCTACCAAAATGGTTGAACGGATTGCCTCTCTAACATAAGCGAACAAGCTAATCCCGTGCTCCGAAAAGGGCATTTCTTCGAGTGTTCAAGTGCAAACTGCTCGGTCTGGATCCATTAGCCCACGGTCCATTACTCGTCCTAATTCAGGTGGCTTACTCCGGCAGAATGTGTAAGAGATTTTCGGGTGTGCTGGCGCACTGGGATTTCCCAAAATGAAAAAGCCAACTGTTGAGTGCGTTGTTCGATGCAGTTGTACATGAGTTCGGCGATGAACGTCCCTTCCGAAGGCTTACTTCCAGCCGGCACAACGTAAGCCGCTTGCATGTATTTTCCGGATTCCACCGCTCCCAACTGTGCCGTACCGTTGTTAATTTTTTCCGACAGCCACAGTACGGTGCCGATGCACTGTCGGGTCGTCGGTGCATTCATTTTAATCGGGTGATCCACTATACGATGACAAAATGCAGTGCTAAGGGACGGTGCGACGACAAATCGTGCCGCAGAATAATGCACAGTTAGTACGGAAAGTTTCCAAGTTTTCCATAGAAGCGCTACACCATGTGCGCCTATGGAGGGTCCGAAGTTGAATCAACAGCTTGATGCCGAAATCCCCCCCATTCTCCAGTGCGCTCATTCGAGCGTGGTTTCGCGCCCACAGACTCACACGCCAATGAGCGGATTGAGCTCCTTTTAACAGACCAATCGTGGCGAGGCCCACTACATACCGGTCGGTGCTGCAATGATCCCGCGGGCTACACTGCCTGGAACTTCGTTCCACAAGGTGCAACCATGTCAGGAAGGCCAATGGGGCGCAGCCAGACCGAGAGCAGCGAGACCCCGTACTACGAGTAATCGTGCTACGAGGCTGTCTAGGGGTAAAGTCGTACTGTCCTCTGCGACAGGAGTGTGAAGGCAGTAAGGTGTTTCCCCCAGGCGAACCGCGTGTCCGTATTTATGGATGCTGCCGATGCTGCCTTCCCCCGAGGAAGGACGGGTTAGAAATGTCGGCGCCGAAATCCGCACACTCCGATCGTCTAATGGTTGACCGCCGGCGCATTATCCAATACGGTCGAAATACTTTTGATACCAAAGAGCCCGGTGCTGCTCAAAAGGCACCTGCTGTACGCAGCCGCATCAGGAATGAAACAGTAATGTCCTATTCCCTGCGGCCTCGGGTTAGACCAATCCCCTTCAGCCCAGCAGCTCAGACTGTTGAGTCGTCGGTTCCGGGCAGGGTCCCCAAAGGAAGCCCTACGTTCTCCCACTGCCTTGTTGGTCAGACTTTTGAGTCAAAGGCTGGGGTCAGGGTCCCCGAATAAAACCCTACATTCTCCCACTGCCTTGTGGGTCAGATTTTTTGAGTCAAAGGCTCAAGGTGGAATACCTCAACCCAACCCCCTTCCTCGGCCTGGGCAACCGGGAAGTATCATTTGCTCGCGCAGTTCAGCGTCCACCGATGTCCCTCCTCAACCTCTTCCCACCGCACAAGCAAACATCGCTGGGCCATTTGACTGTCAGTTATCAGACCGGAAGGCCTTATGCTCCTCGCTGCCTACAAACATTAAACAAAATAACACCTTTCTAAATCCACGAGCTCCTTTCCATATAGGAGCTTTAACGTCCGTACTCTATGTCAAATTGGCAAACAGGCTATGCTTGCTTAACCCTTATACTCCCTTAAAATTGATTTATGATGTGTCTCCGAAACACGCATACAATCCCCGATCGTGGTTATGCACCTCAGAACGCCAAGGATTAACTCAGCTCTTTTCCATTTCTCCCTCCGTGTGTCCGGTGACACAAAGGCGATGGCTCGTGGAATATATGACGTGGGAGTTGCACTCTGCCCCAGAGCTGAACGCGCTTTGCTGGATTTGATTCCAAGCTATTGCCTTCAGTGCATAGGTCCCTTCCCAATCCCCCCACTTGACACCCGACTGACAGTGCACCAATTTTGCACCAAATTTACCATCTGCAATGCCGCACTGCCTACCCCCCCCCCCCAATCATCGGTGAACGAAACTGCGACAGCTACAACCACTACGACGAGTACGCAGTTATTACAGCTGACAATGATGACATATCAGTCGAGTAACAGCGTATCGCATGGCTGCCGAATGCAGGTTTGAGATGCCTGCAAGTCCATCCCGGGTTTGTCAGAAATTTGGTGACGCACATGGAACGCTGTCTACGGGCTCGTGAGCATCGTAGTGAGGATGTGATCTAGCCACAGTTGTACCCAAAGCTTACGAAACTGAGAGCGGAATAATCTTTGCAACGGTATAAAATATCCAAATGCACCGGCTTTACGTGACACTGATAACCGCATACAAATAGCATTTCTTTGTAGATACTGCAATCACGGTGGTGCATTGGTTCAAATGCGGTTACCTACTATGAATGGCCCGTTGTGTAAAGGCAAGTTCGGGAACGTGGGTCGAAATATATGTGCACGGTCAGGGTAGAAAACAGACATTTCTGCGGGTGAACGTTTTCACCATGGGGTTCCTCACAGCATTTTGAATGTTGGGTGACAGTAAATAGAAAGCTGCCCACTCAGAATGTGCATTGGAAGGATGTGCTAGAAAGCCGAAATGAATACGTTGCCAGTCAGCAACGATGGCAACAAATCCATCTGAACAGTTCGGAAGGTTGACAACTGCACTTGTTCTCGGACGACAGGAATGCATTTTTAACCTTGTTAATTCTCAGGCCAGTTTACATCTGAGCGTCAAGTTTCGAATAACTGGGTTTCGGGTCAGATATAAGCCAATACACCACACGACTTCTCTCCTTGAAACTAAGGCTTAATTGACTATTTGAATGGTTATTTTGTCACTAGAACTATCCTTTTCGGATGATGTGATGGTAGATTTGGGTTTTATCTATTCCTATTGACGTTACAATGCAGGCAACTGGTGAGATATCAAACGACAACAGCCGATGATGATTCCTTGCAGCAAGATAGTGTTTCATCATACTCTGCCCAGGATGTAAACGAAAATCGGTGAATTGTCAGATGACCCCTTGACTGGCCTCGCAAGCCATTCTAAGATAGGTGAGTTATGGTACCTACAGAAACTCCGACAGTCATAACCGGGCATCGCGAATGAGCCTGGGTGGCTCCTCTAAATGCCTCTGGAGAAAACAATGGCTAGTCCCTCCATATGTATGCTTTTATGGTAAAAGTATTTTGGGAGGTATTCCGAATATTGAGATCATGCTAGTAGATGGGGCGAGATGAGTCAGTGGTTAGAGCGCCAATTTAATGACCAAACTGTCCGTGGTTCGAACCCCACCTCTGCATCTCGACATTCCTGTCTAGGCTTGGGAAACCTGGCTGTTTCCTAGCCTTCGTGCTTCCTCCAGGTGGCGTGACAGCTAGATGCTGCAGCTCAATGATTATTTATTATTATTATTATTATTATACTAGGGATTAAGATTTTCGGAATATACATGTGGAGAAAGTGTTTTGATATACGCAAGCATGTTATCGTTGTAATCAACCTTCATGTTCACATATTTTGGAGGATGAGATTCACAAAGATCTGTTTTCTAGCCATTGCTGCCAGTTGTTTTATGTTTTGTTTGCTCGTCAACAGCACGATGCTTAATAGCTGGACATCGCTTGGGTTTGTGTTCAACCCTCAGAGTGAGGATAAGCCGCGCAATGTCATCTTACCGATTAAGCCTTTTAGTTTTACCCATATCACACTTCGCAGATCGTTCTTTTTTCCTACGAGAGCATAGTTTTCTCCAGGTGACACGAGTCTTAGGTCGTACGATTGAGTCGTTCATGTTTCATTCAGCATCACACTTTACCCTGTGAGGTGTACGTAACCGGTCTCTACCAACTAGCTAACTGATCAATAAGATATCCTTGGCTGCGGTGATGATTTTTGGACATTGAAAATAATGTTCTACAGGAAAGAATACTTTGATGAATTGATTATCATTCCAGCTGAAAGGTGATACGGCTTTTGTGCTGCATATTCACTGGTGGATCACGTAACCGGATCACAGGTAACTGGAAGGATGTGAACCCTGTTCGAATCCATGTTTTTCATGGAACAATCAATCAAGTGATTGCTGGCCTCATTACTAGTTTTCAATTCTCCACATTCGGTTTTACGTGGTCATAGCAAGAAGACCTTACTTCAGCAACCTAACAAATGATGGCCGGAATTTCCTCAAGTATGTACAGCGTTTGTGGGATTCAGTGCTCTCGACAGTGGTGCACCAAGTCTCATGATGATGAGATTGTGGCAATTCGTTGGGGCTCTAAGGCTGTGCGCGCAACACTCCACTTGGATGCAAGCGCTGGGCGGGGGGACTGTGAGGGCGTTGTGTTTTAGTATACTTCAGAGGCGCGGGCGGTACGGCGCTTGGGTCGAGTGTACTGGGGATTGTTTCTATGGAAAAGACGGAGAAATTCGAAAATAAGCTTCGACTCAACGCATTACGCCGACGACCTGGTACCCGCAGCTGAGGACTAGGGCATTCATCTCCTTATATGCGAGACTGCAGTTTAAATTGCCCTTGAAGATGCGTCCAGGTTTTAATTAGTGAAGCGGAGACCCTTTCTAACTTTTCCACTCGTCAAAATCAGCTACGCTTCCAAGCTTAAGTATTTGATTGGGAAAATAATACCATGGCGATGCAGGTTTTTTGTCGTTTGATGAAGCTGTTGCAAATAAAGGAAAACACGAAGCCCAAATCGGAGACGTGGGATGCGTCACCTATGGCCAGAGATTCCCCCTACGTTTCAAGTCGGCGGACATGTTCAACCATTCTCTGCTATAATGCGACAGTGAGCGCTGCAGTTCATTTTATTCGAAGTTGTTGACAAGTTGGGAGTGTGCACCAAGTTTCTTGAATTTTAATTCTCTTAATCCAAATCAAATTACACCACCACCCGAATCATGCGATACTTATGACAGTGAAATGACTAAGCTGGCGTACTACTACTGATGAGGTACCTATAGCTCAAAGATGGAGCTTTGGAGTTATAGAAGTTTCATGACGACTTGTGAGCTCCACAGCTATTTGCTGAATGTTACGGGGATAAGTCATCCGCCCAGTACTTCTTTACTTTTGAGCGCAGGATGACTAGGTTTGTTTGTTTGTCTGTTTGTTTATCTTGTAATCCGTCAACCACGTGACATCCAATGGTTCAACCACTGTGTGGCACCAAGTTCTCACACTTTTCTTCTGAATACTGTTCTCTGTTAGAAATGTTCTTCATGATTGGGTAAAGACGCTTACTCTCCGTAGACGATTACTGCATAATTGGCCTTGAATTTCGTCACGTTTGGAAGGCGTCACTTAGCAGCTAATCAGCTGACTAACAGGAATCGTTTCTCAAGTTTTCATACATAGTTATCCATAATGTGACGTAACTGTTTACATTGAATACAGAAACCTGATAATGCTGAGCGTTTACTCCGACTACTACTCACTTATGCCACTTGCTGTTCGTTCATTGACGTGAGGATATTCGATCATAACTTTTCAAGCTTTGTTCGCACTGGCCTGAATCAGCCACCAACTCTCTTTCTTTATTGCCGCTACCCTTTTAGAGGGAATCATCTTCTGACCTGCGCCATATCTACGTCCTGCAGGTGAGTTGCAGAAATATGTTTGAAGAAGTTGAATTCCGGTGATAAATGGTTTTTTGGCCACCCTTTCATCTAACATCCGACTTCTTCCGTTCTATCTACAGCCCTTGACAACTCCAGATGCCGAACGTATCTTACAGCTGGAGTCGTTACAGAAGTTGGATGAAAAAGAGCTAGAAAGTCGCTTTGGAACAATTGCCGACAGGAAAGATGCACATTTCGGTCTACATGATGCTCTCTGGGCCTGTCAAAACATGTTTTCAAGTTGGTATGTTTGATTCTTCTTATGAGCAGTACGCGCGGGGTTTCTTCTACTTTTCGTCCGAACCCTTCGGAATAGTTGACAGATCTTTTGGTATCCCATATATATATATATATATATATATATATATATATATATA